CCCCCCCCCCCGCCCCCTTCCCTGTCCCGCACCCCCGAGCTGTCCCCCTGGGGGCTCGGATCAGGGGTGCCCGGTGCCACACCCACCTGCCGGTGTGCCATGTGTTCACGGCCCTCGCTGGGCGAGCGGGACCAGCGCTGGTCCCGGGCCCGGGCCCGGCCATGGTCAGGCCGCTCCTGGGCGTAGCGTTCCTTGTCCGAGGGTGGGGGGTGGTGGTGGTGGTGGTGGTGATGGTGTTGCCGGTGCTTCCGGTCCTTGGGCCGGCCCCGCTCCTGGTCCCGCTCCTTAGACGGCAGGTCCCCGGACTGGGTGGTCATGCTCAGGTCGGTCCCCAAGCCTGGGCAGAGCAGGGGGTCAGACAGACGGCCGTGCAGCAGGCGTGGGTGGCGCACAGGAGGCCTCCCTTAGGGCCTGTGGGCTCTAGACAGGGGCACCTTCTCCCGGACCAAGGAGAGCCTGCTGGGCGTCAGGGGTCTGGTCCCCAGGCTCTGGGCGGCATCGGGCCCAGCTTGGCCGCTTGGTCCTGTCCCCTGACGGACCTGCTCCTGGTCCAGACCTCCTCTTTTCGGCCTCGGTGTTTCCCTGCTCTCCCTTGTCGTCCCCTCCCCTCCTCCGTCCCCTGGGCCCTGAGCGGTAGCCCACCTGTGTCCACGTCCGTGTAGCGGCCCAGGGAGCGCTCAGAGGCTCGGTGGCCGCGGTCTCGGCGCCGCTGGTGGTGGTGCTGGGTGTCTTCAGGCGGCACCCTCTCCAGGGAGTAATCGTCCAGGCGCCGGGCCTTGGGGCCCAGCACGGAGGCTGAGCGCTTCATGGGGCTGGTGTCTGAGATGGTCTGGGGGGGTGGACAGGCCAGCGGGCCGGGGTCAGCGGCCCGCACCGGGCGGTCCCGGTCTGTCCCGGCCCCTCAGCCCTCAGTGACGGGGTGTGAGTGTCGGGGGCAGAGTCCCAGAGGGCCGTGGGGCTCGGCTTCTGATCCACCAGGGTCCCGGGACCCTTCTGCCTCCTCCTAGGCCCATCCTGGGTTCCGGCCAGGAGGCCCCATCTGATCCACCCCCGTTTCTCGGAACCACCCCTGCGAGGTATACCCCCCCAGCCCTGGCCATCCAGCCAGGGGCAGGCAGGCTCGCCGAAGGGGAGAGCGTCCCCCATCCCGGGTTCCACCCAGAAGCCCCGGGCCCTGGGCGGCACAGCCCGGCGCTCACTCCTGCCTGCTCTCTGGAGGCTGGCAGGCCTCCTGCGTGCTCAGGACCGGGTGCCCAGCCTTCCGGCTCACTGTCCTCTCCTGGGCTAGCCGGGACCGGGCTTTCCTGCCCACCCGAGTCCGGCTCACGAAGGGAGCCCTTGAGGGGCTTCCCCTGGCATTTGAGGCCCCGAGGGGAGCTGCCCTTCCCCTTGGCCTGCAACCTGGGAGCCTGCCCACGCTGCACCCCCAGGGGTCAAACCCTAGAGAGGGGCCTGTGGTTCTCTGCTGCTGGGAGAGGAGAGGAGGAAGATGGCACCTGAGGCCATCCCAGCCGGATGGCCGGTGGCTCCGCCCCAGGTGGCAGTTTTAAGAGACTTGGGGCTTCTGCACCAGAGGGTCAGGGGTGGCGTCAGGGGTATGAGCCTCTGAAAAAGAGCGGGCCAGGTGGGGCTGCAGGCGAGGCTTCCTGGAAAGATGGCATCTCCCAGCTTGGGGGCTTGGAGGAGAGGGGGTTGGGGGGAAGGGTGGGGGGCAGGCCTGCCCGGCAGGCACACGGAAGACACAACACACAAGGATGGGGCTTCACGGGGTGGGGGGTTGCAGTCTGCAAAGAAAGGGGGGGGGGTCCGAGGACAGGGGAGATGACGGGACTCCCACGAGGGGGGGTGGGCGGGAAGAGGGGGCCGGAGCCCAGCCGGGAGGCGGTACATACACTGAGGTTATTCCCACGTGGCCGGCCCCTTCTCCTCTGTCACAGCCCCACGGGATGGTGCACACAGAAAAACAGAAAGAAGAAAATAAATATAAAAGCCAAGAGGGAGAGTGAGAGGTGGTACACGGAGATGCCAGGATCGGGAAAGAGGAACCTGGGCGGTGGGGAGGGGGGGGCGGGGGGGGGGGGGACGGGGCAAGAGGGTCAGGGAAAGAGGTGTTAAAGTCCCTGGCGTGTGGGTGACCCCAGGCCCGGCTGGCCGGCCTCCCACGGGCACAGAGGAGACAGACAGGCGACACCACAGACAGACAGATGGCAGAGGCACGAGACGGACAGATGGGATGGTGTGACCACAGGCCCCGGGCCCTGGGCTCCGCCTCATGCAGGGTGCCCCAGCCCTGGTTCCCACTGACACTCAAAAGCTTGGGGAGGGGTGGCCGTCAGCCGTCCTGTCCCAACCCTCTCTTGGGGTCCAGCGGCTCAGTCCTGGGGGTGTGGGTGGCGCGGGAGGTGGGGAGAAGGCCTGGCGGGATGACGCTGGGCGGCCACATGCAGCTGGGCGCCCCCCCCCCCACCCGAGTTCTCAGCAGCCAGAGGCCAGGTCCTGGAGCCACCCTGGCCCAGCCAGGCACAGCACAGCCTTGTACCCCGTGCACACGCCATGGCACAGCACACGGGAAGCCTGCCACAGCCAGACTATGCCGCCCTGCCTTGTAGGCTGGGCGGGCAGCCAGCCATGCTTCTGGCCCCGGTGCCCCTGTCCCTGCGAGCCTGGGGCAGTGGGCGC